CAACTATCTGCAGGGGAGCTTAGGGCATTTGGACCTGAGCCAGTGGAGACCCAAGGACAAATGCCCCAAAGGTAAGTAAATGCCTGGCTCACGGGAAGTGCTCTAAAGAAAGAGTATGCCAAGATTTCTGTAAAATTTCCTGCCAGAGCACTAAAAATACTAAATTAACTAGAGATCTAATAATCGTCAGCTGCACTAAAACTAAGGTATTTCAATGACGCTGAATTATTCATTAAATAGGCAGCCAGTCAGTCAAATTACTAGCTCTTATAGCTAATATTTCAAAGTCTAAAACTCTTGAGGAACACAGGTGGTCAATATGAGTGTGACTCAAAAGCCACCTGAGAAAAAAGACTAAAATGGGGGTAGCCCATGAGCGTTAAATATGGAGAGAGATAAGGGGATAAGGACCCCAATGCTGAATTAGCTATGAATAAATAAAACATGATGCATTTGTTGATATACCTAGTGATGAGATAATGAAAATAATTTTATCAACATGAGCAAAATACATATGATTTTTTAAGTCTGTTCAGTTCCACATAATTTTGAAAGTTTTCTATTAGGTAAGAAAACTTTTAAATCTACAAATTACCCATGCTCTTCTCCATAGTGAGTTTATGAAGCAGTTTATTTTGTCTTTTAAAAAGGGAGTATTTTTTATCCCTTTGTAAAATCTAAATTCACAAATGCCTAGAAACATTGTGGTAAGAATTCAAATTGAAATGACTGGCATTAGATTTTGCCTTAGTGATACTATTGCTAAATTTGTCCATTTTCAAAGCAAGAAAAATAAAATACTTTTACCATATACGCATTATTTTTTATGTCAAATTAGAAAGTATCTACTTTTTCAAAATTTTCAATTTGCTCTAAGAGAAGAAAAAAATAGGAACATGTATATAAAAAATTAACTGATTAATTGCTTTAAAAGGCATATATGCTGAAAAACACCTGAAACGACAGTCTCTGACTCTCAAAAGGTTAAACTACAGTTACTTGCTTAACTTAAAATATATCTCAAAAATGAGTAAGTTAAATTACATTCAGTTAAACAAACAATCTGTACTTATTAAGAGCATGCCATTTGCCTCAGTTCAAATATGTTTTGTATCTCAACTAAGTTTCTAAACTAGCCACCTCGCAACCTCTATCACTTATTTCTGTTTCACCCTTTATGTGTGTATAGTATGTTACTACTGGATCTCAAATAAGATTATTTCATTTTCTTGCTTAAAAACCTTTAGATGTCCCTTAGTAATCACATCTGTGACACTCCTCTCTTCTATTTTTTGCTTCTCAGATAAATCAAATTTCAAGCAATGGTGTACTCCCATTTCTTATTTATATGCTCACATGTATCACTGGGGAAATTTTCCCTGTCAACTAGGCACATCCCCTTCACTGCATCTTCTTCTGGCTAATTCTTATTTGTCTGTCTCATTAATTTGAGTCTGTTCAGTTTTCTTAATATGAAACAATAAATATAACAAATATAATGATTAAAAGAATCTGATTAGTTTATAAATGTTCAGTATTTGTAAAAAAAAAAGAAAAATTTTATCATGTTAATTATATATAAAGCCAGTTCATTCAGCCAAAAATCTCACTGAAAATTTTTTTTAAAAGAAATCATTTTAGTTAAGTGACATCATCAGTAAATGAGAACATTTTAAAAGGAATTCAAACTACATAGACAATCATGGTATAGATTTAATATACCTTCCTCAGAATAAAGACATGAAATATAATTAGAATGATAAGAATGGAGCCATAGAACAACCGTTTGGTACAGCAATATGCTATAAAACGATACTATATAGGACATAGTCAAATTCCCAACTTTAAGAACAGGGAGTGAATCGGAAAACATATAGATACTAATCATAAATAAAAACGTGGTGAGTTCTAAGGAATTAGTGAGAGAAACGCTTGGTATAGACTGACTCTTTCAGAGAGACTGGTGTGGGGCACAGAGGAATAAATAGAACATGGATGAGCATAAAGTTTGAAAAAATAATTAAAAAGAAAGGTCAAATTACCTTAAAGTGGATAACTATATATTTATAGATATATCATAGTTATTTTAAAAAGTTTTATAGCCCAAAGCAATTAATCAGTTAATTTTTTCAAACAGTTGTTTAATTCGGGAGATAAATTAAACTAGTAATTGACGTTTCCATAGACTTCGCAGGTCAGTTCGGTCAGAATGATCATTAAAAGATTGGTGGTTGCCAGGGGCTGGGGAGAGGGGTAGCAACTGGGAGATGGTGACCAAAGGCTACCAGTTATAATACGTGTACGTTCTGGGATCTAATGTACAACATGGTGATTATGATTAACAATACTGTATTGTATAGTGTACTTGAAAGTTGCTAAGAGAGTAGATCTTAAATATTCTCATCAGAAAAAAAAAGGACACTTTGTGAGATAATGGCTGTTAACTAACCTTATTATGGCAATGATTCACAATTTAAACATGTATTGAATCATTACAATGTAGACTTTAAACTTACATAATGTTGCATATCAATTATATCTCAATAAAGCTGGAAAAATATGATCATTAAAAGATAGATTCACTATGCCAATGACAAAATAAGTAAAAGGAACATTAAGTACGTGCCTTACATGAAATAATGTTGCTGACTAGAGCTTAATTAAAGCATAATAATTGGCATAAAATGGATAGAATGATTTACTATGCTATAGAAATAGCGTGAATGGCAAATGCTTACTAGAAAAATTGTTTTGTGAATTACTAAGCAGTCACGATTTTTTTTATTTTTTACTCTTAGTGTTGAATTTATTTCCAAAATATTTTTGTGTATTATTTTAGGGACAAATAACAAGGAGACAATAATTTTAAGTGCCAAGAAGATGAGAACTATAAAGAAAAAAAGGAAAAAGTAATTTTTACATGATACTATAAAAATAAACTGTACTAGTTATCTGTACAAGGAAAAAAAACTATGAGGAAGAAATTGTGGACTCTCTTCTTTCATCTACAGATTGTCTGATAAACCACTGAAGACATTTCTAACTTTCCTTATCTATAACTTTCAGAGCTTTTTTAATATATAAAGGTATACAGTTTTATTTTATAGCACTTACTCTGGGAGAAAATCGGGAAGATCCTAGTCTAGCCAATAATTAAATGTTTTGTAGTAAATATTTGTATACTTTGTGCTTAAAATTGCCTAGATAACTTACACATATTTAACAATATATCTTATTGTTTTCAAATACATTTTCTCTTTTATATTTTAAAACAGGCCTTTGGCTGACAGCACTCAGCAAGATTTGGTTACTGAGGCAATCAATTGTACTGTCCACACAAAATTTGTCAAAACAGGTCTTCTAACTCCTGAAATCAAGGAAATGAAGTATCTCTTGTCCATGCCTCAGAAAACCTTTAATTTTCCCAATGAAAAAATTAGGAAAGAACTACATAGACAAAAAAAAAAAAATTAGTAGAAGATAGTGACGAATAGCAGAATATTTTTAAAAATCACATTTAATGGTATGGCTGTTCTTTTAAAAGTTTAAATCTTAAATTATCTAAGACTATAAGAGTCAAAGGAAAACACTTGCAGTAAAGAGAACTCAACCCCAGCATTTACATTAGAATCTGCTACCTAAACTTAATAAGTAAAAGGAGAATAAAAGTATATTTTCTTAAGAGTCTCAGCCAATGGGACAGTGAATAAGGGAGATAAAACTCACCTAGAAAATAGCTTCTAGAATTGAGGCTTGGCTCAAGAGAACAACATACTTGAGATATCAGAAGCAAATTGGACTTTTGTTTGTAAATTCATTTCGGCAATATAAAATGCAGATTACATTATTTTAATAACATGTCTGTCCATATAAGCATTTAAGAAGAAAGTTTCACTCACAGGATATGGCCATATCACAATTATTATATATAGTTTCTGGTCTACTTCAAAGAGACAACTGCATGTTTATTAATATCAGTCAAATGGAATTCAAACTGAGTTTCTGAGTTTTAACTCAAGTGAACATTGTTCTTAATTCTCCAAAACCTTTTTATAAATATTTTGGTATTGGTATATGTTTATTTCTTGGACTGGAAATTATGATCCAGTCTTCTCATTAACTAATCGATTTTCTACCACTAGACAACAGACACTAGAAAGTTTCAGCTTCAGCAGAAGGGCACAGTGAATGCCAGAGTGCTCAAGGCCTGGTAGATGTTTGCTATGGAAAGACATTTTTTACTATTGTTTCTGGGCACGCTGATGACAACAAACAGGGAGAGACCTCCTCTTCTCAATAAATTTTGACTGACAGTTCTCTTGTGCTGAGTATGGTCATATGGTGCCTAGTTTGGCTGGCTCTGTCTGAAATAATAGACCATATGGATTCAAAGCCTAACTTCAATGTTCTGCCATCTTATTATTGGAAAGAGAAAGAATTTAAATAGAATGTCAGTCAGGTTTTTATGTTTTCCTCTGCAGCTGCAAGCGTCAGCTAAAAATTACTTACCCTATCTATATCATCTAGATTATTATGAATCCCATAATCCAAATTCAAATATTTTCATTTGACGTATTTTCATTTGATATATAAAAAAGCTGTGGTGGCAAGTACCACTTTTAATTCACATAAACGACATCGATTCCCCCAATACAGTTCTCTTTTCAGTTTCTATAAAATAGTCTCAATTCCTAAGAAAATTCTTATTCTTTATTAAGAAGATATATATTTATTTGATTCCCACACTTTTCTAATATTGGTTCTAATATCTAAGTTTTCTAGATGAATATCAGATGCCAGTATAGCAGACGCCGATGGATTTTTAAAAATCAACCAAATTCACTCTCTGCAATTAATGTAAAATTAACACATCTGTTTAATAGACTTATGTGTATATCTCAGAGTAATTTAGACATATAGAATATACTTTATCTGAAAAAAAATTTGAAATATTTTGTGCAAATTCCTGAAACCTCTTTCTCATGGACTCGTCCCACTAGGTGCAAGGAACCATTTTCCCGGCTCCCATTTTCGACCCCATGATGGATGCCCAAATGCTAGGGGGAGCACTCCAAGGATTCGGTAAGCATGATAATTTCTATGATCTTTTATTATAAATTTTTTTCACTTTACCTTGTTTTAAGTTTGTCATATGGGTGTAAATAGTTGATGTCTAACAGAAGACAGATTTTATTTTTTAAGCTAGGCAAAGAAGTAGAAGAAAACAACAGAAAAAAAAAATAGTAATGGTGAACAGATTTGCATCTCTCAAGTGCAAATTTGATCTTGACATGTTTTTGCCTTAAATCCTCAAACATCTCATTACTAAACAAAACCCCAAACCAAAAATTCTTAATCTAGGATAAAATATCCTTTTTGCCCTTGTTTGTTTCTTCAGCCTGTTTCCTTTGCTACTTCCTCTTCCAGCTAACTCAAACTCCCTGATATTCCCCCAAAATGGATCTGCTTTTCGACATCTCTGTAAACTGGCCCAATAATTCCCCTGACTGGAAGACTATTTTCTTCTCCTGTCTACCTTGCATCCAAATTCTCTTCCTTCAGTAATCTCTTCAAATGAGCTTTCCTGTTTAAATGCTTCTTTGGGCACTCCAAACTCAACCAGCTGTGCCGATGCCCGGGCCCCCTGCTTCTCCACTCGTGTGTCACTCACCTCATTCTCACTGTGCTTGTTCTTTCTGTCTCACTTTATGACCACTCTGTGAGCTCCCAGAGCATGGAGTCTGGCATGCTGCTGTTTAATAAATGGATGTTCGATGAATGAGACTAGAGTTTGGAAAAGGGATAGAGAAGGGAAGAATTCTGTTGGAATCTTTTTTTAAAAATTAATTTTTAAGATATGATATGGTGCTGTTAAACATCTATTATATATATTTTTTTGTTCCGTAAAAGCTGTTTTAAAAAGAATTCTGGTGAGCATGAAGGTAAATGTTGACAACATAAAAGGAAACATTTCCATAAAACACACAAAGCCTTTCATAACAAAGGAAAATCTTAACTTTAAGACAAGATCGCCTGTATGAGAACGATGCACAGGCATACACACACACACACACACACACACACACTTTATTCACTTCACGTTTTATATACTAGCAGAACCCCAACGGAAAACAAAAAAGGACTTTAAATATGTTCTCTAAAGTCGATTTTAGGAGTTTGCAAAGCTTTCATGCCTTTTAAAATATCAACAATCGCTAGAAAAAAATATAGGGATAAGGTAATAAAAAGTTATGAATTAATTTTTTCTTCAGAAGAGTCACTTTTGCTTTAAAACTGTGGGCCAGAACAATTTAGTCACTGAAAAAAATTTATTTGCTCCAGTGTCAATTTTTCTGTTATTATAATTTTAGGGACAGAATATGGATTCATTTTGACCATCATAATTTTTTGTTTGTCAGTGTTTTAGGCTGAAGAAATTTCGGAGGTTTTGGTTTTGATTGCACAGTGTCCTCTTTAGCTCACTAGAGCAAAAAACCATCTCAAAATATTCAAAAGTCTATCCATCCTGATGACCTTGGCAAAATGCAATTGAAAAAGAAAATATCTAATATTTTCCTTGACAACTACGATTTTTTTCCAGCTTTATTGAGAAATAATTGACATATAACACTGTGTAAGTTCGAGGTGTATAAAGTGATGATTTGACACATGTATATATTGCAAAATAACGAACCAATAAAGTTTAGTTAACTCATCTTTCACCTTACATAATTACTATTTTTGTTGTAGTTATGGTGAGACATTTAGATTTGCTCTTAGTAACTTTCAATTATACAATACAGTATTGTTAATTATAGTCACCATGCCATCCATTAGGTCACTAGAACTTTTTCCTCTTATAACTGGAAGTGTGTACCCTTTGACCAGCATCTTCCTATTTCCCATACCCCCCAGCCCTTGGCTGGTTCTATGAGTTCAGCTTTTTTAGATTCTACATGTAAGTGCAATCATAGAGCATTTCTCTTTCTCTGATTCATTTTAATTAGCTAATACCTTCAAGATTCATCCATGTTGTCACGAATAGCAGATTTCCTTCCTTTTTATGACTAATATTCCACTGTGTATCTCGCATTTTCTTTATTCATTTTTTGCTGATGGATACCTAAGTGATTTCTATAGTTTGGCTATTATGAAAATTGCTAAAATGAACATGGAGTGAAGTATCCCTATGAGATAGTGATTTCATTTCATTTAGATAAACACCCATAAGTAGGATTGCTATATCATATGATAGTTCTATTTTTAATTTTTTAAGGAACTTTTATAATATTTTTCATAATGGTCATACCAATTTACTTTCCCACCAACAGTGCACAAGGATTCCCTTTTCTTCACATCTATTATCTTTCTGATAATAGCCATTCTAACTGGTGAAGTAATTTCTCATTGTGCTTGATTTTTATTTCCCTGATAATTACTGATGTTGTCCTTTTTTTAATTTTCATTTCCCTGATAATTACTGATGAGTATTTTTCATGTATTTATTGGCTATTTATATGTCCTCTTTGAAAAAAAAATGTCTATTTAGGTCTCTTGTCGATTTTCTAATTATTTGTGGCTTTTACTATTAAGTTGTATGAGATACTTATCTATTTTTAGGTATTAACTCTTTATCAGATATAAGGATTGTAAATATTTTCTTCCATTCTGTAGATTCCTTTTTCGTTTTTGTTAATTATTGAAATAGTAGGGGGCGGGGGAGAAAATTCATTGATTTGTTCATGAAGCTGTCCAGAAAATGCTAAAGGAACATCTATTCTATGTTACAAAGCTATGGAAAAGCAGATAAATCTGTGAGTTCATGAGATAACTGATAGTAACTATAAAAACAAATGTAGTAGTCAGCTTTCTTTTGAAAGTAGTGCTGGCTGGCTTGCATGTTTCAAAAGATACAGCATGAAAACTGTTCAACTTTCAGGTGAGGCAAGTCCTGCAGGTCAGGGGGCTACAGAATATTTCCTTAAAGTATTCTTTAAAAATACCTCCTAAGTTTTATACAGAAAAAGCAAATGTGGAAGAGAGGATTTCAAAGCTGATGAGACTGGCTTGTTTTACAAAGACACTGACAAACATGTACAATGTAAATGGCATTTCTGTTGACAAAAATGTTGTGACCAGAAGGTCAAAGAAACCTAACCCTATATTTCCCTCAAGAGCAATAGTGCAGCATTTACTAATTCAATGCTCATGGTGACTTTGCAGAAAACTACCATGAATAAGAGGAATCAATGGTACATTAAAAAAAGTCTATAAAATTTCTATGGTTCATTATGCTACAAAATAAGAATTATCTAGAAATTCCTGTCCGAATGCAACAGCGCAAGAAAGAGAAAAACATACAATGATTCTAAAGATGAAATCAAATTATTATTTATAGAGAATATAATTATATATCTAAAAAGCCTAAGTAATCAACTAAAAAGTTATTTAAAATTATGGGGGTTCAATAATTTTTCTCAATATATGGTAAACATAAAATTCAATATCATTTATTTATTTAAGCAATTATGTGTTAAGAAACAAAATTTAAAAATGAACAGAAGGCAACTATAAGTAACAAAATAAAGTTTCCTGTCATTTGCAAAAATTCTACAAATCTTTACTGTCTTTTAGGGGAAAAAAAAACATGAGTAATTCAGCAAACATATCATATTAGTGACAGAAAGACAACTCTTCTAAATTGATTCCTAAGATTATAGTTATTACAATTTAAAATTGTTAATTTTGAGATCCATATAAAATTTTTCTGAAATATCTCTGGAAGGATAAACGAGCAAGAATTGCTATGAACACATTGAAGAACAGTGATTCAGAGAAGTAGGCTGTGGATAACCTCAGTAGAACAGCGATGAAAAAACAGAAGACTAACAATTACCTAAATGTAATGATAGTAAAAATAACGATAGAATTGAAAACTCTTCTATGTATTAGTAAAACATCTTAATTTTGGAATGTCCATTACGCAGCTAACAGACCCCCTGGGTCTTAACCTCTAAATGTCCTTTAAGTCCAGGGGCTTAACCAGGCTAGACTAGCCCCATGGTACCGTGTTACTCTGTGCCTATTACTGGAGGCTGCCTTTATTCTCACAAACCATAAAGTTCAGTCTTTGGAGCTGATTCTATTTCTCCCTTTCTCCATTTTACAGCTTTCATACCATTTCTCATCTACATAAAACACTCTGCTCTTCCTTTTGTTTCTCGTCGGCACTGTCATCTACGTAAATCCTAGTCACTTGCCCTAATTCACTGGTTATTTCAGGTCCTGACTCCATCCAGGCTTTTCTGTGGTCTTAAGATTTTCATTCACCACCACCCCCCCCCAAAAAAAACATCAGCTTAACATTCTAGCCTTTCACTTTTCAACTAATTAAATATTACCCTTTGTCAAAGAAAATTTACACCACAAAGTATTAAACAAGCAAGGAAGACTTTATTCAATTTTATTGCAATAAGGGTCAAGATTTTTGCAACAGAGAGACCAAACTCAATTCCTCTGAAACAAAAGGTGGGAGAGTTTTTAAGCATTGGGGTGTGCTGGTGGAAAAGTATTGGAGGACACTGGCATTTGGGGGCATGATCACTGTGATTAACCATCTGTATCTGTAACTGGCACTTATGGAAGTTAGGTTTCTCCCTCCAACAAAGACTGGGAGATAAGGACTCTACCTTACTTGATGATTATATTTTAAAGGATGGCTCCAAGTCCTTAGAAAGACATTTCTGGGCTGTAAAATTGACAAGTGGTTGAGAGAAGATGTACACCTCAAACGAATAAAGAAAAAATTTACAATTACACATTTTCCAAAGTAAATGCTCTCAGAAAATGAAAATCAAGGAATAAGCCTGTCTAAATTTTAGTCAAGCTGAGGGAAATGTTAAGGCCTTCTTGAACACTCTAGGACTACAATTTCAGCTTCTTGAACACTCTAGGACTACAATTTCAGCTAAATTCATCTAAATTGGTTGTGCATTCAGATGCTACATCAGTTCAATGAGTTGGTGTATGAGGGAGTAGAAGCCTCACAGCACAGAAACAGTCTCTGCTATGAGAGAGACAGAGAGACAGAGAGACAGAGAGACAGACACACACCATGTTCCACACAAATCAAGGGAGGTTCACAGCATCCCTCAGCAGGGTACGCATCCCTGTACTTTCATAATTTCCTTCTCTATCGCTTTCTTCTTGCAGAAGTTCTGAACTATAGCAGTTATTTTTGTCTTCAGGCATGTTCACTGCAAATCATATCTCTCTAACTACAAAACGAGAAAAATATTGTGCCTATTCAAACACTAATCAGCTTGAAGTTCAGGGAAGCCTTTTCTGGTGGGAGAGATGATCGAAGAAAGATTACTTTTTACTCTCCTGCATTTTTTTATTGGATCTTTTAAAAAGAAAATCTGTAGCGATAGCACCAAAATTAGAGATAGGAAGAATGCAGGCTTCATCAAGCGTTACTCTGTGATGTTCCGTCTTGTTGAAGTGTTCACTGCTTTAAAGCTCTGTCAGGGACAAAGCTTGCACACTGATTGTGAACTTTAGCTAATGGATTCTTCCTAACTGCAGAGCAGTAACTTTAATGATCTTCAATTATTATTCTTTTCCAGGCTGTGACAAAGACATGCTGATCAGCGTTCTAACTCAACGCTGTAATGCACAAAGGCTGGTGATTGCGGAGGCATACCAGAGCATGTACGGCCGGGTAAGTTCTCTCTGCCTTGATCTCTGTATTACCAGGGCAAATTCCTGAGAAATGACAACACTCTCAGAAAACAAGTACTGTTACTCTTTTTAGTCTCACAGATTACAAAGATTTCAAACTTCACGGTAGTTATGTCAGAAACAGTTTCTATGTCAGTAACATCCTTCAAGGAATATAAGAAAGATATATCATCAAAGGTATCTACGTGTGAAGTATGTTCAGGCTCACAGTGACTCCACCAGTCCTTTCTTAAAAATCACTTCATAACATAAAATAAAAGATCTGCTAGCCTTACACTTACAGACTAAAAATGCTGCACCAAAAACAAGCTTTAGGGAAGGTGCAGAAAGAACTAGTCTGGGTCACATCAAAAAGTAAGACCTTGTCCTGTAACTCTCCACCGGTCCTCACGCAGCTCTCAACCAAAGCGAATTCTCTGCCAGCTCTTCACATTCTAATTTTAAGCAAGTACCATTAAAGATTCCTGTCTTTGTGCATTTAAACCACAGATTCAGAACAAAAACTTTTCAAGCCAAAAGGGCCTGAGATAGCAATTACTTTGTCCACTGAGCATTATCGATGAAACACTATGATGAAACTCTTCTCTATTCAGTTAGTCTATATAAATTTACTCCATTTGTAAACCTCAGGTTTTGAATATTTATAATATATGAAATAAAGCATAGCCTTCTGTTTTCAAATTAATTAATAATCCAAAAGCCACAACTACTAGTAAAATTAGTTGAATTAGGCTATAGAAGGAAACCAGTTATGCTTTTTTTTTTATCAAGGTGAAACTGTTACCTTAGCTTATGTTCCTATGATACCAGTGCTAGTTTTCTTTTGAAAGAAAATATAAAAACTATAAAAGTTGTAGCATTAGTAATCTAATATTGTTTTAATATGCATACTGCTATAAGAGAGGTCATTTTTCAGTAATTTTTTTTAACCAAAAGGATTATAAACATCTTTGCTTTCTATACATCAGATTAATCTAGGTTAAAACATTATTTTATTGATCTTTACAATATTATACTAAAACAGATTAAAACGATTAAGAAATGTGACACACTAAAAAATTGTAAAATCCATTAAACAATTTATACTCTAGTGAAGCACCTTCCACTATGTACATAAGATCTCAGTGTTTGCTAAACTCTGACTTTGCCAGGTAATCCACACCACGTGCAAAAGCGTGGCTCCTACACTAAACTGCACCAACTGGAGGAGAGGGCGTCTTGCAGGCGCCTTTCCTCTGAAACGCCTTGTCATATAGTCAGTCATCAAGTCTTGCAAATTATTTTTCCTCTCAAATTTATCTTTTTCCCTCCCTTGCACAGTCTGGACTCAGGCCTTCATCGTTCGGGGCCCAGACTGACAGGGAAACCCTGCTACTCCCAGTCACTTCCTGCCCTGTTCTGGCCACGCTGTAGCCCGAATGACTCCAAACTAAATGTCCACTTTCCCACTTTAATCCCTGCATGTTTATCCTACTTCTTGCTCACAAATATCCATGTCTGTGGAATATTCGCAAATGCCTGCCAAGGGCATACAAGCCTTGCTTGCCCTGTTTCTGCTCACCTCCCTCTTCACACACCCTCAACTGCAGCCAAAGAGAACGACTTCGAGTCCTACAAATGAACCCATTCCCGCTCCCTCACTTTAGTCATAGTGTTTCATCTACCATCAACAGCCCGATTCTCCACTCCATGTGCCGCGCACCCACTCAGCTTCCGAGAACTCGATCCTTTTTCCCATGCCACTACTCCCTGAGCAGAGTGGAACCGGCTTGTGCTGCTACCGCATCCTTTACATAACTGCCACATGGTGCCTGACGACACATTAGTGAGCTTTTTATATGAGTTTCCCTGTACCAGAGTCTAAATCCTTGAAAGCCAGAATGCATCTTGTTCATCCCTAGAGTTTAGCACAGCTGTATGTTTCACACATCGAGATTGCTTAATTAATGTTTGTTGAATGACAATGTGAAGGTACAGCTAACAGCACCTTCTCCTGCAACTAGCAGTCAGTTCTGGGCTGCTCCTGGTAACTTTCCCCACTTCACACCTTCTGCTCTGGGCTAGGTGCTTCCTGCTGGGCTCCTGGAGCTCCCTATGCATGATGCTATCCTCCCGGGCTGTGTTGGTTTCCTGTTATCTCTTGCTGACTGGACTGTAATCTAGGAAATCAGGGACTAGGTTATTTGCTGCTGTCCCTCCAGAGCTCAGCCCAGGGTCTGACACAGAAGAGCACTTTACTTAAGAATAAGGGAATCTCAAGAATTATATTCTCTCTGTTTACTTTCTTCTTAAAAAAAAAAAAAAAAAGGAGGGGGGCATCTTTCCATTATCCACTTTACAGTTAAAGTGAGTTTTCATAAATTGTTTAAATGTCCCTTTTCCCTCATTACCTGCTCCAGCAGCTCCCAGGTGAGTCTGCCTGACCCTCAGGCAGGGCTACCTGCCCTCCCCTGCTGCTCACTTTCAGAATTACTTTTGTTTCACCAAGGTGTACCTTCTACTACTTTCCCTTTCTGTGGCAAGAGTTTATAGATTTCCTGTATGTTAATCATTGCTGTTTTTATTTTTTGTTAACATGGATAATCAAGACTTGACAGAATTGTTTTCTTAGCTGCTGAGTAAAGTGCAATTCTAGGCCTGCTCCATACTTATTATTTGATATTTAACATTAGTGAGGAGTTGCTGAATTCCATCTACAACTTTACCTCATCCGAAGCAGAAACTAATCCTTAGACTCAAACGAGAAGCCCTCTGGAATGCCTCTGATTGATGTACCCATCAATATAATCAATGAGGTTACCCCAGATCTTCCACACCAAAGAAAGTCTATTCTGTTGACTGTGCAATGGAAGCAAGGGAACAATGAAATGCCTCTGAGGCTAGGGAGAGGGACCGTCCATACCTGATAAGTATGGCGATCAATGATTCCTGAAGGAGTTCAAATTCAGCATTGAAACAATTTGTTTTCCAAGTTTTCATTTAAAATGGGGTGATCCACTCTGAAACACCTGGCCTCCAGAACTCACTCACCCCGTGGTGTTGGTTGTGTAATTAGTGTAGAGGCTGACTTGTACACAAAGCTAGAATGTGAACCAAGGTTCTCTGACTCTTAATCAAGTCTTCTAAAGCTTCTCTATAATGCCTGTTGTTCTCAACTGAATAAACACCAGATTTAACAAGGGCAAATGTCTGTACTGCTAATTCCCTTACATCCTTCAAGGCTTTACTCAGTGTCAGCTACTCAAGAGGACCTACACTGATTGCTCTATCTAAAACATCACCCGCGCCGAAGCCTGTGTTAGCACACCACATCTCTTTTACCTGCTCTTTTGCTTCTCTCCATAACTCTTACTACCTTCTAATATCTCACATAATTTAGTTACTTATTACAATTAATATTTAGTTTGCCACCTCTAAAACAGAACCCCCACAAGGGGAGAAATCTTTGTTTTGTTCACTAATGTCTCCCTAGCACTTATAAGAGATACAGGCACATAACGTTGTTATCTACCAACTGAACTGTGTCCCCTCAAAATTTATATGTTGATGCCCTAACCCCCAATGTGACTGTTTGGAGATACGGTGTTTAAGGAGATGCATCAGGTTAAATTAAGTCATAAGGGTGGGGCCCTAATCCAATAATACAGGTGTCCTTATAAGAAGAGGAAGTGAGAGGTACCAGGGGTACATGCACAGAGGAAAGGCCAGGTAAGGACACAAGAAGGCAGCCAACCGTATGCCAGGAAGAGAGGCCTCACTAGAAACCAGCCTTGCTGGTACCTTCATCTTGGACTTCTAGACTCCAGACTGTGAGAAATAAATTTCTGTCCTTGAAATCACCCAGTCTGTGGCATGATTATGGCAGCCCCAGCAGACTATAGCTGGTGCTCAGTAAAGAGCTGTGAAGTATGTAGAGTTCAGTTTCACTCTGCAGATGCATCTTGTCGTCATCCCCATCACATCTCAGCTCCCTTGTTGAAAATACTGATCCTGAAATATCAACACACCTAGAAAGTGCTGGCTATACAACTTATCTATCTATTTTAGCAGAAGAATCGTCATGTCACTAGCACCAGAAAAGGTACTGTGGCTCTATCTTCACTTTAGTTTAGAAGTCACAGGGTAGATGTAGTTTTAGTCTCAAAAGCTGGATCT